AAGGACCTGCGGCCCCCACGCTGTTTCAAAATATTTTAGACCACAGCCACCTACCGGTTCCCAGGAAAATGCCACGGGCAAATACCGGTCCTGCATTTGCTTGAACTGCCCCCCTCCCCCCCCTGCCTTTCATTTTACCAGCCTTTGAACTACCAATGGGCCCCAATGAACGACCGGTATAACGAACGACGACGAAAATGTCTCAGGGGGGGAAAACGCAACCCTGACGGGCTGCGAACAGCATTGTGACGTGAACCATGGCCAAAACCTCAAATTGGCCCTTCCCAAATATGCGGATTTAGGGTCGCAGTGTGAGTATGCCCTGAGAGTCGGTGTTCACAGCGGGTGAGTCACTTTCAGGGCATACTCAGGGCATGCCTCAAGAAAGGACTTTTTGAACCTCCTGGAAAGGACGTTTCTTTTTTTTCTTTTTTTTGAAAGCATTATGGATACATTTAAAATCAATGGGCCGAGGCCATCCAGCGGCCTAACTCAGTTGGTAAGGCTTGCAAGTGGCATTCAGGAGGTCATGGGTTCAATCCCTATTGGCCTCATGTACCTTCCTGGGCATGCTTGGCACCCGCCACCTAGAGATAGACCACTGGATCCCCCTATTGGCATTTAGCAGAGTCTGCTGATGTTCATAGGGGAGGGGACCTGAGGGGAGGCACAGGGATTGGTCCTGTTGGCATGGTCCCTGATGCTACCGGCTGTCCCCTAGCCTGTATCGCCCACCTGCAGGTCGGGAGCAGCCCCCGCATGTTCTCTCGTGACACGGTTCTGGCTGCTACGGGGTTCCCCGTATGCCTACAATTAGGAGTAGTGGTAGTACGTAGTGTGAGGTGAAATTGAGAGGAAAAAAAAATAAAAAAATAAAAAAAATGGGCCGAGGCCGGGGACCTCACAATTCGAAAGGACTTTTTGAACTCTGCCAAAACGTGACGGAATTGAGTACATCGTAAATCAAAGCGTGACCGTAAAAGCGCTCAGATACATACATCTAACTCTCTAACTGCACTACGATTTGGGCGAAGTGGGATCGTGCGCAGGCCACGGGCGCCGCGCCTGCGCCCCAGTGGAGCCTGCCGTAGTCCCAAGCGGAGCCTGGACCCAAGCGGAGTCGCCCCGGGCAGCAAAGAACGGTGCCGTAGAATACGCCAGGGCGAAGTGGGATCGTGCGCACCCGACGGCCGCCTCCGCTTGGCCCCAGTGGAACATGCCACAGGCCCACGCGGAGCCAGGACTCAAGCGACTTCAGGACTCAACTGGTAGGATGACATACGGSGCTGATGAGGGCCCAGCAGGGCCAGCACCCTCGTGAGCCCAACCGGCTCGTGGGCCCAGSGGGTCCAAACGTTGGGCCCTGAAGGCCGCAGAGAACAGGTATGTCCCACACTGGAGTACAGGGACAGCGGCCGGGACCGCACCTATAAAGAGTGCTGCAGTTCGCCGTGAGAAGGTGTGTGTATGGGTGGGGTGTGTGGTTGAAAGACGCTTCGATTTTCATCGCGCTCCAAGCTCCCAAGCTCTCATTCCGCTCGGAGTCCACAGGTACGCTTCTCCTTCCTTCTCCTTCTCCTCCTCCTCCTCCTCCTCCTCCTCCTCGTCCTCCTTCTCCTCCTCCGCTCCCTCCTCTGGTTCTGTTCTTTCTTACTGCCATCGAGTGCACCTTGTTGGCTTCGTTCCCGCGTAACTCTAGCAGTAGTAACCATAGCCTGAAACAGCACTTCCTACCTCTCCCTCTATCCTTCGTCATGCATTTGGCTATGGCGGACACTGCCGGAACTTGTCTTCCCCCTTGAATCTCGTGAGCGCAGCCCAAGCTGCCCGTCGTTTTATCTCGTCTTGCTGCCTCTCCGTTAACTCTCTGCACGACCGAAAAGAATAGCTCTCTCTCTCTCTCTCTCTCTCTCTCTCTCTCTCTCTCTCTCTCTCTCTCTCTGTGTGTGTGTGTGTGTGTGTGTGTGTCTGTGTGTGCGCGAGAACCGAAGGCTTGGTTTGTGCATCGTCTCTGTCCGAGTTTAACAGCTGCGGGAGAGAGAGAAGATGCTGGCTGAGTTACAAAGTCTCTCGAGTGGACAACGAACCGACACGACATATATGTTGATGTTTCGGCTTTTTCGCTTGTTCCAATTCCAAGTTCAACGAACCGTCGCCTGTCCTGTACGGAAGCCGTATAATTCAACAGAAGAAAGACGAAGGTCAGACGTCGTCATTGCCAGGAAACATACTCCAGGCGATTCCATGCAGTCGGGACTGACCAACGTCATGCGGTCCGGACCGGCCGACGACATGGCTTTCAGTCGCGGCTGCCAGTCGGGACACACCAGTGACTTGGGTGCCAGTCCGGGAAGACCAACGATGGCTGGAGATTCTGTCGACCGGGACACTGCAGCTTGGAGGCAATACTCATCATACACTGCAGCCTCATTAATTTTATTGTTTTTCCTGAAAGTGAGAATCAGCGATCAGATACATACATCTCCACAAAAAAAAAAAAAAGAAAAAAAAAAAGCGATCAATTATTCCTGTCTTGGATTTTGCCTTATCGGACTGCCCATTTGATTTGCTGCCCTTTTTTTTTTTTTCCGACTTTTCATGGAAAAGAAATCTTCAAATTTTGATATTCCTCATGGCTATCCTCTTCTGCCCCTCACACTCACCCTCCCCTCTCAGTCTCGTCTTCCCCAAGCAGCGTCGAATAGAGCGCGAGGTCAACTTATCTGTATCTGGCCTGAAAATACGCCGAAGGCAGATTATAAAAATCAGTAGATTGAAAACCGACTGCGAGTTCTATCGGAATGAAGACAGTAGCAGCAGGTTGAATTGCAATCACGTGTCCTTGGATGGCACGCATGCTTCAGCTCGTCGAACTCCTTTTAATAAAATTTGGACCATTTTCTCGATTTATGCGTGTCATCCTTGAAAGCGCAGGGGCCATTCGCTAATCTACCTTTCTCTGTCTCGTTCCAATTTTGACGGATGTGCAGAAGGACACTCTCGAATTCCCGAAATGAAGGAGCTTCAAACTTTTTTTCTTTTTTTTTTTTCGTTTGCGGTTTTTTTCGAGGATCTCCACCACAGTGACAACACCGTCATCCTCCCTCGTCGTCCCTCTTCCTCCCACGTTCGTAGTCCTCCGTCTTCCTCCCTCCTTCTCCCACCTTCGTCTTCCTCCCTCCTCCTCCCTCCTCCTCCCTCCTCCTCCCTCCTCCGCGTTCCTCGTCCGTCTTCGTCCCTTCTCCACCCTCCTCCCCTCCCTCCTCGTCTGTCTTCCTCCGTCTTCCATCCTCTCTCCTCCCTCCTCCCTCCTCCCTCCTCCCTCCTCCTTCGTCCCTGCTCCCTCCTCCTTCGTCCCTGCTCCCTCCTCCTTCGTCCCTGCTCCCTCCTTCCTGAACATCCACCTTTCTTACCGTCAGATTCTCCCTTCTGACCCTCATATCGCCCTCTCTTATTCTCAAATCGCAATCGCGCCCCCTCTCCTCCTCCCCCCC